CAGGCGGTGTTTATACAGATTTAACTGTATAAACTGTATACACAGTATATACATTTATATATAATATGATACTATATATACAGTTTATACAGTTATATTTGAGTTTTTATTATCGTATAAATGGTGTACCAATGTTTATACAGTTTATACATATTTATATATATATATATATATATATTCATTTATTAATAATTAATAATAATAATAATATATTATTTTTTTATAGAATTAGAATTTCCAGCAGTTGTACCAGGCGGTGTTTATACAGATTTAACTGTATAAACTGTATACACAGTTATATTTAGGTTTTTATTTTCGTATAAATGGTGTACCAATGTTTATACAGTTTATACATATTTATATATATATTGATTTATTTATTAATAATTAATAATAATAATAATAATAATATATTATTTTTTATAGAATTAGAATTTCCAGCAGTTGTACCAGGCGGTGTTTATACAGATTTAACTGCAGCACATTTGATACCGGATAATTTTTTAGCAATGAACGATATAACTAATCGATGGGTTGGTAATCAAACTGTTCTATACAGTAGAAATGTTACTGGTGATTAATAATATTTATAAAAATATAAATATGTTCCGATTAAACTTTTATAACTCATCGATAACAATTTTACAGTTACAAGTACTTTAATGGATGGTTCAACGGTAGCATTGATATTCCATGGTGTGGATACTTTTGCTACAATTTATTGGAATGATCATAAAATAGGAGAAACTTCTAATATGTTTTTAAAATACATATTTTACGTAGAAGATTATTTGAAGGTATATGTTAAAACTACTGAATTATTTTTATGTATAAAATTATATATTACATATACATAGATAAAAAAAAAATATACGTAGAAGATTATTTGAAGGTATATGTTAAAACTACTGAATTATTTTTATGTATAAAATTATATATTACATATACATAGATAAAAAAAAAAAAATATAATCAGAAAATTCATAGATAGGAGAGAACACTTTAAAAATTGTATTTCATTCACCTGTAAAAATGGCTGAGGATTTATACAAGAATCAAAGTTTACGATACATCGTACCACCAAAATGTGTTCCCAAAGAATATAATGGAGAATGTCACGTTAATCATATTAGAAAAATGCAAGCTAGTTTCTCATGGGATTGGGGCCCAGCTTTTCCTTCTATGGGCATTTGGAAAAGCGTTGAATTAATTTCAACCAAAGAAATCCTAATTACAGATATTACAACGGATGTTTATGAAAAAAATGAGTTTTGGGAAATAATTGTAACGATATTCTTTGAAATTCCTCCTCGTAAAAATATTGATGACATTAGATGCACCATAAATTCAAGATTATATCTAACAAACACTAATTACGTTCAAAATTCATCCGACGTAAAATTACAAGTCAAGGATGATGAATATGTTACAGCATCGATTATATTACAAATAGATTCAGTATGTTGACTTTGTTATCTTGTTTTTTTTTTGTTCATGATAAAAAAAAAAACATCATTTTATTTTAAATAATCTTTGAATTATATTTAACAGAAATTAATTGACAGATGGTGGCCAAATGGATATGGGAAACAAAATTTATACACGTTAATGGTTAACATTACTACAGGAAGTGAAACGTTGAATAAATCTTTACGTATAGGTTTTAGAACTATTGAATTAATAGAAGAACCTTTAAAGAAAGGATTAAGTTTTTATTTTCGTATAAATGGTATATCAATATTTGCAAAAGGAAGTAACTTTATTCCTGCGAGTATATTTCCTGAATTAACAGCTGAAGAACGTGTTATCAGACATTTATTATTATCAGCTAAAGAAGCTCATATGAATATGATCAGAGTTTGGGGTGGTGGGATGTACGAATCTGATTTATTTTATAATTTGGCTGACGAATTTGGTATTATGATTTGGCAAGATTTTATGTTTGCGTGTGCCATGTATCCAACGAGTGATGAATTTTTGATATCTGTTAAAATGGAAATTGTACAAAATGTTAGACGATTGAAGAATCATCCAAGTGTAGTTTTATGGGCTGGTAATAACGAAAATGAAGCAGCATTGTATAGTAATTGGTATGGAACTGGTAAAGATGATGTATACAGAAACGATTACATTAAACTTTATGTCAATTTAATTGAAAATGAAATGAAACAATTAGATACTACCAGACCTTTTGTAGTATCCAGTCCTAGTAATGGTTTATATACCAAAGAATACAATTATACTGGACAAAATCCGTATTCTAATTTCTATGGGGATGGTAAGATACATTTTTCATTATTATGAATTGTAATGTAATAATGAAATGAAATGAAATGTATGAAATGTATTATTTACAGTTCATTATTATAATTATTTAAACAATGGATGGGACATTAATCAATATCCACGTTCAAGATTTATGTCTGAATATGGTTTTCAATCGTTTTCATCGATTTTAACAATTTCCAAAATTATTCATAATTTTCATGATTTACGTACAGACAGTGATATTATGAAACATCGTCAACATTTGCCATTTGGTACGGAATTGATGAAATTACTTATTTCGAAAAATTTTCTAATACCAAAGTCAAACGATACAATCAAAGATTTTACAAATTTTGTATATTTAAGTCAAATCAATCAAGCTGTATCTGTTAAAATACAAACTGAATCGTATCGTCAAGCCAAATCAGAATTGAATGATTTAGGTGAAGGATTAACGATGGGTGCACTTTATTGGCAATTGAACGATGTTTGGCAAGCTCCTTCGTGGTCTTCTATTGGTAATGAATTTTAATGTTTTTTTTTTCTTCTTCTCAATTTCTGTATTATTTCTCATGTGTTTCCTTTTTTTTTTAGAATATGGAGGAAGATGGAAAATGCTTCATTATTATGCAACAGAATTTTTCTCACCAATTATTGTAACGTCTCATTTATCTCAAGTAAATGAATTATCTATTTATATTGTTTCCGATAAATTGTATGAGATAAATAATTGTACTTTAAAATTAAACATTTATAATTGGAACTCGATGCAACCACTTCGTGTATATTCTTATAATAATATTAAAGTTGTAAGTATATGAATTTTTCTTGTTGTTCTTTGCAAACAATATTAAATCATATTTTATTTTAACAGGAAGCAAATAAAGCGATGTTAATTACATCAATGTGGCTTGACAAGCTTCTTGAAAAAGTACAATGTGGAACGTTAGCAGAAGCTAAGAAATTTTGTGTCATACAATTAACGCTTGAAGATAATAATGGATTACAAATAGCTCCAATTAATTATGTTTATCCAACTGTATTAAAAGATGTAAATATTCCATCAGCCAATGTCAAAGTAAGTCAATTTTATCTAATCATAATAAATAATATAATTAATGAAATGTAATACAACAACAACAACAACAATTTGATTATATTTTAGATTAAAATAAATGTCAATCAATTACCAGGAAAATTGTCTAATTATCCAGATTATGAAATAGAATTAACGACCAATGAAATAGCACTTTTTGTATGGTTGGAAGTGAAAACGATAGATGGTCGATTTTCCGAAAATGGCTTTCACATTTTCCAGAAGACTAAGTATATTAAGTTTCATGCGTATGAAGCAACTACGCCGGACATGTTAACAAAAAATATACAAATTACAACTCTCTCGGACGTTTACAAACAGGAGGATGATGATCGTTCATTCGTTCATGAAAATACAAATACATTTATTGATTAGATGAAAGTAAAATAAATATCATAATGCAAATAAATTTCATATCCTATGTTAACCCGGGCGCTCAGTCTCTAGACAATTGTGCCCGGGCCCCTTGCGGGGAGAAACCTATCATCGTGGCGGTCCCGCGAGTAGCCCCGACTCCCTTGCAAAGCGCAGCAGTCTGGCCGCCCCTGAGCCCACTAGGTCGAAGTTGTTGGCGGTGGTCCCAAGGACATCATTTCTGACGTCCGTGAGCCCAACGCATTGAGTTATGAGATGTAGGGGGGTATCCTTCGCCTCCCCTTCGCCACACTTGCCGCAGACTGAGTCTTGTGCTAGGCCTAGTCGCGTAAGGTGCTTTCCTAAGTGCCAGTGCCCCCGACTCCCTTGCAAAGCGCAGCAGTCTGGCCGCCCCTGAGATTACCTGGTCGAAAATGTTGTTGGCGGTGGTCCCAAGGATATTATTTCTGACGTCCGTGAGCCCAACGCATTGAGTTATGAGATGTAGGGGGGTATCCTTCGGTTCCCCTTCGCCACACTTGCCGCAGATCGAGTCTTGTGCAAGGCCCAGTCGCGTAAGGTGTTTTCCTAAATACCAGTGCCCGGTGACCAGTCCCACAACCAGACTCAATTGGGCTCGGTCTAGGTTGATCAACTCGGTACCTAGCTTCTCCGAGGGCCCTGAGAACAGGGCCTTTGTGTACCTCATGCCAGGGCCTTGCATCCAGAGATCCTTGAAGCGATCCATGGCCCACTTCGTAGTCCTCTTCGTATAAACTCCCATGAAATGTTGACAGGTTGATAAATATAACATTTATATTTATTATAAATGTAAATAAATATTTACAATAGCAAAATCTTTTGAAAATGAAAATGAAAATGGAATTAAACACAAAGGAAATATTTCAAATAATATTACAAGTATTAATAATAATTGATAAATAATGATAATTAATTAATGTGAATTGAAATTAATTTTTAATTAAATATTGTTGTTGTTGTTGTTGTTTTTTTTTTTCATTATTTCCGTTGTATTTATTTTATTATCATAAATTTACAATGAGAATGTTACAAAATAATTTATACTGTATTAATATTCCTATTCAGCACTGTACATGAATGTATATGTGTGTATAATGTTCTTATTCATACACGTATATATGATTGTATATGTGTTTCATTAAAACAGTAAGGAAGGTAAAAATTGCAAAATCATCAATTCCAAGAATGTAAATCACGTTTCGCAAATGTACAACAAATTACACGTACCTATGCAATATTTATGAAAGTTTAGTAAATTTTTTTCCTTTTATATCAAAAAATAATAATAAAATAATAATAAGGTAATTGTGTCAATGTGTTTTAATTCGTTGTGACAAAAAAGAAATGTTGAAAAAAGTTAGTCTCGTATTTAATTTCAAACGTGTGTACGAACGAGATTTATATTTTAAACACTTCAAAAATGTTTCGAATTTTATTAATTTTGTCAACGATCGTTTTTTCCCTTACGATTGGTGATGGTAATTCAAATTTTATAATCTCTTTGTAGTTTAGTTTGTTTCTTGTTTTTCTTTAATTTTTATTTCTATTTTTTTTCTTTTTTTTAATATCATTAGACGCTAATTTAAATCGAACGGATTTGAAATGCAGTGGACGTGTTTATTACAATGTTACATTGACCGCATATTATCCTGAATATTTGAGCGACAATGAAATTGATTATTTGGATATCAGAGGAAAGAAATTAAAAACACTTCAGGTTTGTACAAATTTGTCGGATTGAAGGGTGGGGAGTGGGGGTAAGGTAAGGTTAATTCGTACAAAAGCAAGGCATGTTTTTGTGAATTTTTTTGTGACGTCACAGTTACAATTTCTTGATTCAAACCAATGGTACATTAAAGTATGACATTCGAAGAATATTGTATAAAATTTTCACGAAGAAATATTTAAAAATACGACAATGGCAGCAATTATTCGGATGTGTCTCATGTCAGGAAAAAAGAATTGCGGGGCCCCTCATCGGTGCTGGGCCCACCCGGGTATTGGATCATCTGAAATTAAAAAATCAAAATTCATTCGTTAGATAATAGTTTTCCCCAGGTAACGTTGGAAGGGTTTTTCACAATTTCAATTTTTCACTTTTTTGGAACACTTTGAAGAGAAAAATGCGATTTTTTAGCCGATTTTTTTTGTAAAAAATCGCATTTTTCCCTTCAAAGTGTTGCATAAAAGTGAAAAATTGATTTTTCGAAAAACCCTTTCAGCCTTATCTGGGCAAAACTATTATCTAACGAATGAACTTTGATTTTTTGATTTCAGATGATTCAGCACCCGGGTGGGCCCAGCACCAATGAGGGGCCCCGCAATTCTACTTTTTTCCTGAGACACGTTCGAATAATTGCTGCCATTGCCGTATTTTTAAATATTTCTTCGTGAAAATTTTATACAATATTCTTCGAATGTCATACTTTAATGTACCATTGATTTTAATGAAGAGATTTTAACTGTGTCGTCAAAAAAAAATTCACAAAAACATGCCTTGTTTTTGTACGAATTAACCTTACTCCTCCCTCCTTAATATTTAAATTAAAAATAATAAGATTTTGTTTTTTGACATCGATCGAAAACTTTGGCGTTCAAAGTTCATGCAACTTTACATTAAATTTTTTAAATATTATCTTATTATTATATAGAAATTATTTTAATTATTATTTTGACTCTATGATTTGCATTTAATTTCAAAAAAAGAAATAAAAACCAAATAGAACCTTTGTCAAAGACCGATACACATAAATAAAAAAAGAAGAAGATAAAAAATCATGAAAAGAAAATTGGAATAAAAAAAAGACTGTTCGGAAAGTACGTGCCGATTTCCGGTAGATGGCATTGAAGTTATTTTAATGAAAAAAAAAACCTGAAAAGTTCTGAAAGGAGGAAAATTTTGCAAGTTACTCTTTAAAGATGGAGAAAAAGTTTGTGAAACATAATGACACTTGAATATAATTTGATAAATAATTATACCAAGAGAAAAAAAAAGAACTTAAATTGCAAAACATTTCAATCTTTCATCAAAATCGGCACGAACTTACCGAACAATCCAATAATAGTCAAATCATGGAATCAAATCATCATGGAAATAAATGAATTTTAGGATTACATAGATGGACGTGAGACTTATGTTACAGCAAGTATGGATTTATTAGGTACCAATCTTAAATATGGTTCTCATTTGTGTATACCTGAATTAAACGAACACTTTGGTAGGCGCATTCCTTTACAGGTATGAATCATAAGTTTCGAAACATGTATTTGTTCCACTTAATCAATTTTTATATTTACTTTTTTCTTTTCCTTGTTTTTTTTTTTTTGGATCAGGCACGTGACTATGATAGCAACATGAGTGGTAAAAAATTTTCTAGAATTGACATTTGTGTTAGAACTGATGTTGACAGTTATGATCAAGCTGTAAATCGTCTTGTCACTTTATACATATGATTATACTAATTACAACAACAACAACAACAACAAAAATGATAAACAATTCAATGAAATGAAATTAATATTAACATATTAGCATCTATAATGAATAATAAATCTTACAAATTACATTGAATTAAATGTAATTGAAATAATATTCGCAAATTTTGGTATTTACGTATTAACGCCATTTGCAGCAAAATTCCGCTAATGCGCCCAATCTACACCTTAAATTGTTGCAACAAATCATGTATTTTCATTCACCTGATGCTGTCGCCATAACCCTGACGAAACCCTGACGGTTGCTGTGTGCAAACAACAAGGTTATTGTATGCGAACAACAAGATTGTTCTTTATTGGCGCATTAGCGGAATTTTAGCTGCGATGGCGTTAATACGTAAGTACCCAAATTTCATATACACGTTATTTAAAAAATTATATAATGTATTCATTTTATAAAATACACTACAAATAGTTTACTCACTATGTTTTTTTTTCTTTATCAGTGTATCTTCGATAAATTAAATAAATATTCTAAAAAAAAAAAAGATAATAAAAAGAACAATTGTTATTTAAGTCTTACACAAATTATATATTTTCTAATCTAATAGAAAAATAGAGTAAAAAAAGATTAATGTAAAAAAGAAAGAAAAAAAAAAATAAATCTCAAATGATATCATTACGTAGGTTGGAACTTAAATAGTGGCAACTATTTATTCACAACTTATACAAAAGAGTTACATGTTTGTATCTGTTACTGTCATTCAAAGTAATCACCAGCGTTGTGTAGAACCCGTTGCCAGCGATGTGGAAGACGTAATACACCGTTAGAAGAGCCTGTTCTGTTGATGGTGCTAATGGAGTGGTCTATTGTCATGTCTCATCCATGAACTCATCGTGACATTCGCTTCAGAACTGTTCCAGAGATTCGACAACGCTCCAAGTGCGTCTGAGCAGCTTCGTAACGTATCCATTTCTGCATTTCTGTCAATACATGCGGAACCCATCGTGGCATTNATTCAAATCGGTTCAGTAGTTTAGGAGTACATTGCAAACAAACAACGTGACACGTAATTTATATGTATTAAGATAATATAAACTATCCTATCTTTCAAGTTGGATGAAACTGTACACATTGTGCAAAATTTGATTAAAATCGGTTCAGTAGTTTAGGAGTCCATTGTGGACAAACAACGTGACACGTTATTTATCTATTTTAAGAAGAAAGATATATAATTATATTATAATAAAATAATAATAAAAATTTAATAATATAATACAGAATATATATATTTTTCAATATTTTGTGCAATAGTATGTGCTAGGGTTATTTCTTTTTTAATTTATTACTTATCTATATATATATATGTGTATGTATGTATATAGGAAGAAGAAGAAGAAGAAGAAGAAGAAGACATTGAAAAAATAATCGAAGAAATAGAAAACGATGAGTATATTTATACAACTCATGTAACGTGTCCCATCTGCAACAAATTGTTTCCAAGTGATCAAATTGAAAATCATGCAGCTATGTGTGATCAATTTCAAACCGAAGATGATTATCAATATTCAACTGAAAACAGTAAACAAATAGTTAAAGGCAAAGTTAAAAAATCACAAATGTTATATGAATGTAATATTTGTTCTTCGTTTAAAACGTATAATGGTATAGATTATGAAGATCACGTTAATAAATGTTTACAGAGCAGACAACATTCACCACCTCGAGGTACGTTATTTTATCTTTATTTAATAAAAAAACAAAAACAAAAAGGAAAAACAATAATTATATATGTATAATAATACTTTTTTTTTTTACAGGTACTCCTGTTTTAATCGATGTACCTGATTCTCCAATTAGTTCTTTTCAGTCGATTAGCGAACAAAAAAATTCTAGTATAGATTATAATGACCAATTAAATAATATTACAAAAAAAGCACAAGTAGGTAGAAAGAGAAGGCGTTGATTGCATGATACAGTTGTTTTCTTTGACAATTTGAAAGAAAAAAAATATATATATATATTTTCTATTTTTTACTTTTTTTTTTTTTTTTTATTTAAATATTAATATACGTTAAACCATTAAGTATTTGATTATACTTCTTCTCTAAAAAAAAAACAAAAAAAAAAAACAAAAAAAAATCTAAAAAAAAAAATGTTAACGTTTGATATAATATATTTGTATTGTATTTAACTGAAGAAATGAAAATGTTATATTATATATTATATATTATTATCATTTTATTTTATTATTTTTTATTTTATTATCATTTTTCATTCAATGATAGATTATTAGATATATATTCTGCATTTAGAACATTCCATCATTTATAATATTTTCTAATTTAATTGATTATTCTAACAAATATATATATATTTATCTTTAATAGCATTTACAAATAAATGTGTTTTTTTTTTCTTATTTTTTTTTTTTTTTTTACAAGATTTAAATTGAATGTATTTAAGTAAGATTAGTTGAGATAAAAAAAAAACAACAAGAAGTTCTATGTAGTTTT